ACAAATGTTCGGTAGTGTTTCATTTTTCTTTTTTTTTTTTACCAATCGGAATGATCTGAAATTTGGAGTGTGTGTTACTCAAAATCAGGCGAATCTACGAAAAATATAAAAAACATATTTTACATGAAATAAATTAACCAAAATACCCTCGAAAAGTTTCAGGGGTATTTTGGTCAATAATGTTTTAGCGAATTATTTTTTTATATTTTTATTAGGTGCCTTCATTAAGATGTACAATTGCTCCAAATTTCAGATTATTCCGATTTTTAGGAAAAAAAAATTAAAATTAAAATACTCTCGGATAATCGTGACCATCAGATTTGGGCTGTTGGGCGTTTACTGTAGCGGTACGCACATGGGCGTACAAGAACTTTTTCCATATATATATATAGGAAAAATTGCTAAAAACCCCAAAAAATATGCTTTTATACACTCTACCCCCACCCTAAACTTTCCTCACTTATTTTTCTCAAAAAACATCTTTTATACCTAATACCACCCAACTAAAAAAGTTACATCGTTTTTGATGAAAATACCCTCCCTTCACATGACAAATCATTTTCGGATCCGAATAAAAGGAAACGTTCGACCGCATTTGTACAACGATGGACTGCTCAGTCTCGCGTACTTCGAAACACCGAACTGCCCTACAAAATTTCGGACTGCCATATTAAAACACCGGACTACCCCTTCAAAATGCCGGACTGCAACTTCAAAATGCCGGACCGTAACTTCCAAATGCTGAATCGCCCATTCCAGCAAAAAAATAATCGCCGGACCGCTACCATGAAACGTCGGACCGCCACCATGAAACGTAAGACCGCCCATTCCAGCAGAAAAAAAATCGCAAGACCGCTTGTTCAAATTGTCGGACTGCCCTCTCTAATGAAAATAATTTGTTATGTATGGGAAGGGTATTTTCATCCAAAATAAGTGAACTTTTTGTGCACGGGGTATTAGCTATAAAACATTAATTTTTGGGGGGAGTTGCTAGGAAAAGTTGGGTGGGTGTAAAGTGGGTAAAAAATCCATCTTGGGGGTTTTAGCAACTTTCCCTATATTTATATATAGGAAGATGCTAGGGTAAGCCCACTAGCTCACATGAAAAAATGAGCCCAATGGCCTAGATTGAATTTGGGCCGATCTGATGATCACGGATGTCCGTAGTATTTGAATTTTAATTTTTTTTTTACAAATCGAAATCACTTGAAATTTGGAGTGTGTGTGCATAAAAAATAGGTAAATCTGCGAAAAATATCAAAAAATATTTTACATGAAATAAATTACCAAAATACCCTTGAAAAATTTCACAGGTATTTTGATCAATTCCTTTTTCATGATTTTTTTTTTTAATATTTTTATTATGTGCGGCTTGATGAGAAGAACACGCCTAAATTTTGAAGTGATTTGGATTTGTAGAAAAAAAAATTAAAATTCAAACACTACTAGATATCCGTTTTCTTCAGATTGGCCCAAATTCAATATGGGCCGTTGGGCGTATACTATTCCATGAGCTAGTGGGCTCACCCAAGCTTTTTCCATATATATATATAGGAAAAGGCTTCTGTGAGCCAATGGGCTCACAAGAAAAAATGGGCCTAATGGCTCATATTGAATCTGGGCCGATCTAACGATCACGGATGCTTGATAGTGTTTGAATTTTGATTTTTTTTTTTTATAAATCCAAATCACTTGAAATTTTAGACTTGTGTTCATAAAAAATAGATGAATATTCGAAAATTATTAAAAAAATATTTTACATGAAAAAAATTGACCAAAATAACCCCATAAATTTTGCGGGTATTTTGGTCATTTTGAATTTATAGTATTTATTTTTTTATATTTTTATTAGGTGTCGGTCTTGATGATAAGACATTCACTAAATTTCAAGTGTATTTGGATTTAAGTAAAA